ATATCAATATATTGTACACTATAATCTAAGGGGAATGGGGGAATAAATTAGAGGCCACGAGGACCTAGAGAGGACTCTTCCAGAGCCAGTCATGAGTGAGGATAAAGTTCGCGTGTCTGAGAACGACACGGGTGAGATGAACGAGGGCTCCTCAATGCGGAGCCCGGCTGTCATGGCACATGTGGAAAGGGTTGCTGGCCCAGGCCGCGGCCGGTCCAGCCCAGCGCTCGGAACCGTCCCATGGGGTCGGGTCCGACCACCCCCTGAACAGGGTGGCTGGGTACAACGGGGAGGGTCGGAGGACCCGCCCCGTCGCGAGCCCAGGGCCAGACCGGCTTCCTGGGCCCGAGGCGTACGATCATTCAGCCTCCGGGTCCAGGAGAGGGCTGGCCGGCGGCGGCGTCAGCGGCAGCGGCGACCCCAGGTCCATGCCGGGCGGCGGCTCCTGGCCGGGCTCGTAGCGCGCGTGCGTGCGCATGTGGCGCGTGATCATGTCGCGGCGGCACGCGGCGTACGGGCACTGCGGGCACTTGTAGGGCTTCTCGCCGGTGTGGGTGCGCTGGTGGGTGGAGAGGTGGTCGGAGCGCGAGAACACCTGGCCGCACACGCGGCACGTGTACGGCTTGACGCCCGTGTGCAGCCGCATGTGCCGGGTGAGCATGTCGGAGCGCGCGAACGAGCGCTTGCACACGTCGCAGAGGTACGCCTTGGTGGCGGTGTCGGCCGCCTTGCTCTTGTGCCGCGAGGCCATGTGCTTGGCCAGGCGGTCGTGCAGGCTGAACATCTGCCCGCACACGGGGCACACGTACGCCACGTCGGCGCCGGGGGGCATCTCCTCGACCACGGGCGACACGTCCAGGTTGTAGCGCAGCGAGACGGACTCCTTGGTGGTCGGGGAGGCCACGTCGCCCTTCACCACGGGCACGGACACGGAGTTGGCGCCGCCCCGGGGAGGCAGGAAGCCGGGCGGCAGCAGCTGCAGCAGCGGCGGCGTGGGCGGCGTGTCGAGGCGCTCCACCTTGGCCTCGAAGGCCTCCCTGGCGAGCTCCCGGGCCGCCTCCCTCGCCTCGCGGGGCGCGTGGAGGGGGTCGGGCGGAGAGCCGCTGGTGGAGGTGGCGGCGGAGCTGCTGCCGCTCGTGCAGCACGACCGCGACGAGCCCGAGATGGAGGTCTTGACGGACAGGTCGAGCGGGCTGTCCTGCGGGGTGCTGCAGTCCGAGTCCAGGGAGGCGGCCTTGGTTCGGTGCACGCTCAGGGACCCGGGCCTTCCTGACGGCCTGGAGGGCGGCGTCGGGACGAGCTGGTCACCGCGCTCTAGCTTAGCGGCCTCCAGCCACAGGGGAAGGTCCGAGTCGGAGTGACTCCGCCGCCTGAAGATGTCGGGCAGGTATTTGTTGTGGAGGTAGTGCTCAAAGCTGCTGTACACGGGCGCGGCCGTGGGCGACACCGGCGTGAGGGGCGAGATGGGCGACGACCCGTACAGGCAGTGCTGACACGAGCAGCCGGGCACCCGCGACTGCGGGCTGTGGTGGCCGTGGAGGCGGTCCGACGAGGCGGCGGGGTCCGAGTCGTCCTCGTCGATGGACGAGTCCTTGTTGAGCCTGAGCGGGCTGAAGCTGATCTTGGGCGAGTCGGTGGTGGACGAGTGCGGCGACTTGGACGAGGACGCGCCGGAGGCGCCCGACGCGGGGCTGAACACATCCTCCACCTCATCCTCCTCCGAGATGGGCGACGCGTACCTCTCCCGGTCCACGCTGTCGAAGCGGAACACGTCGGGCCGGGGCGGGTGGCGCAGCGAGCCCTCCTCCGACTTGTGGCTCTTGAGCTCGTTGTTGTTGTTGTGCAGGTGGATGTTGTTGTTGGTCACCTGCCCCGCCAGCTTGTCCACCACCTGCGACAGGCGCTTGCGCTTGCGCTGCTTCTGCGGCGAGCGGCGCTGGTGCACATTGTGGTCCTCGGCGCCGGGGTGGTTGTTGTTGCTCAGGGACAGCTTGAGGGAGGCGTGGTGCTGCAGCAGCGTGTCCGCCATGGTGGCGAGCATGGGCGGGAAGGGCTGGCAGCGGGGCGCCGCGGCGGGCGCGGGGCACGGCGGCGACAGGGCGGGCTGGGCGGCGGCGAGGGACGCCAGGCCTTGCGTCAGGCTCAGGGGCAGGGGCAGCGTCGGCAGGGACGGCAGCGCCGGCAAGACTCGCCGCTCATCCGCGCCGCTCCATGGGAGCCCCAACTGCAACAAAGAAAACAAACGGGCGTTGGTAAAAACAAGGTCATAACCAGCCATCCATCCATCCATCCATCCAACATGCGACTGCAGCACCGGGCCCGACAGACACGTTCGCCCGGATGTCACAGCGGGCCAATCAAAACTCGGCTCGCCATTGCAGGGCCCAGGGCGGCCCCGCCCCGTCCCTAATGAGCGCGCCACGCACTAACGAGCCGACTAATGCGTCGCGATATTCGTGAAACGGAATGGGGAAAAAAATAATAATGTCCAAAACCACGGGCAACAAATCCTTCACCGGCAGCCGCACGGGCGGGCAGACTCGAGACTCGTTCGCGCCCATTTCCATTTCGACACTCTCCTATCCGTTTGCATTCCACGTGCAGCCGCCACGGTGGCGGTGGTGGTGGCGGCGGGGGGTGGCGGCGCGTAGCGCACACACGCTGACACACCACGCCGCGCAGCGCGGGAGGAGAGGAGCTGCCTAATCATCATTAAAGCAAAGCCTGGAAGAGGCTGGAAGACCCTCTCATATCTCACGCCGCATTACCACCACGTGAGAAGGCTCGGCTGGGCCGGGCGCCGCGGGTGGAGGGGAGGGAAGGGGGAGGGATCAAAAGAAGCAGAAGCAGCAGCAGCAGCCAGCAAGCTCCCGACTTGCTTATTTTTGCTACGGAATGCTGTAAATGTCACCGGAGGCCGGTAGAGATCCACTTGCTCTGCTCCCACAGACCGGGGCCGAGGAGGTTGGTGGGGAGGGAGGGGGCAGCAGCAGGGCGTGCGGATCTTCCGCAGTGACCCCCGGCAAGGACGACGACCAAGGCTTGGCGAACGAGGAGGGGGAGGAGAGAGAGGAGGAGGAAGCAGGCAGTATTTGACACCTCGCCCTAACGGCCTGAATCCCGGAATATACTTGGTCACGAGGATCGCGTTGAGAAAGAGGATGCTGCTGCCGGCGGGCGTGCACTCCTGTTGCCGCCGCTGCTGCTGCCGCCGCCCGAACCAATCCAGACCGGATTCCTCGTCAAGTCGTCGCCATCCTCCTCCTCCTCCTCGCCATCGAGCGGAGCCCTCGTCCCGTCGAGCTGAGATAATATTAAGCAACAGATATCGGGGGGCCGGCTCATATTGTTGTGCGGGAGCCCTGCTGAGTGCGCCGAGGACCGCCTAATTGGCAAGCTACCCGTGGCGTGGCGGGGCGGGGCACCTGTGTGATGATGCTGATCTGTCGTGCGTCCAGGACCCGCTCCGCCCCGCTCGGCCGGGCGGGTGGGGACTGGAGGTCAGCGTCGACCTCTAATGACAGTCGCCACTTCATCAGCATCTCGCTTATCAAGCCTTTCACAACCACCGGAGCCAGCGGGTGGTCGGAGGGGGAAGAGGGGGAGGAGAGGCGGTCCCATGGAAACCTGTCCTGGGCCAGGCTCACCACCACCAGGCCCCCGCCAGGGCCCCCGACGCTGCCGAATATCATGGGACCCGACGAGGAGTGACTCACAAATACGGCGCAAATACGGGGAAAAGCACCGCAGGCACTTTGGCAATTAAAAACGCACAAGTCCACGGCGCGCGGACTTTGGCAAAACTTTGAGCAAACACACGTCAGGGAGGGGGAGGGGACGGTGCTACTGCGGTTGGGACCCCAGGGAGGGCCCCTACACACACCACACCCCGCGGCGGGGCCACCGCTGGGGCGCGCCGAGGGCCACGCCGAGCTGCCGGCCGAGCAGGCTGCGGCCCCCGCCGCCCCCCACGGCCCCCCGCCACCGCACCGGGCGGGTTGCGCGTCTCCTCCGTCTCGGCTCGGCAGCAGCGCCCCACACACCGCGGGGCTCGGCTGCGCTCGGGCCAGCCGCGACTCGGCTCGGCACGGCCCCCCCGACCACACGGAGATCATAAAAAGCAGTATCAACCTCACCACACATTCACTCACTCACGCACACAGGCGCGCGCACGCACACGGACGCACCGCATGCACGCACGACGCTCGCCCGGAGGAGCAAACGTGGAAGGGAAAAGACGGAGAGGCGGAGGAGGAAGAGGAGGAGGAGGAGATATCGATGACAAGACCATGCAGGCTGTGTACGTACAGTAGTGCGGTGGGACGCGGGGGGAGCGGGAGGGGGCGATCGTGGAGGGCCCAAGTGAACCTGCTGCAGCCATCGCCACTGCGGCACCTTGCAACGAGGCACCCCACAGAAACCTCCCAGCCGTGCGAGCGTGGGCGAAGAGGAATAGAACCCCCGTAAAGAAGGTTGCAAAGGGCCGAAAAACAGGAGAGGAGCGATCACAGCAGCGGCTGCTGCGCGGTATGCGAGCAAGCGACAGTGAGTCGTGCTCAGAAGCGTCACATCAGCAATGCGAGGCGTGGAGGGACATGACCATTAACGACAGAGAGAGAGGGAGGGAGATGATGAAGAACGCGACAGGTGACATCTCCGCGCCGTCGGTAGGAACGTCCGGTGAAAGAGACATGATAGCGAAGGGAACGAAAAACGTTTCAGTGAAAACTTTCAACACAGGGTCGAGCCCAAGATGACTCTGTTGCGAGGAACGCAACGAAGTCGCACTGCGATATAGGACACATGTTTTCATGTCGCAAACCGCAACCCCAAAAAATCAAGAAACAAAAAAAGAACAACGTCGGGTAAATGGGTGTGAAATCCTCGACATCATGAGAGGGTAGGGTACCACCAGCGCGACTCCACACAGCAGCTGGGGCCTTATAGCCTCTGCCGTCCAGAGAGAAGGGAGAAGGGGGGGGGGGCTATGCGGGTGCAGGCTAGCTGCAGGCGTGAAACCGCACTGAGGTGGGGGCGGGAGGGCGGAGGGGGCGTGGATGGCTCCCACAGGGGATTGCGGAAGAGAGAGGGGGAGAGCGGGAGGGCGAGCGGGGAGGGCTATGAAGGACACAAAGAAGGCACGCCAGACCACAGCAGCGGCGGCAGCGCGGCGGTGGGCGAAGGGACACCCAAAGGGTTGCCCACAGCCCAGCCCGGACCAGGGCCAGGCGGCTGCATTCGGGAAATTAAGAAATGCGACACCAGCGAAATCGCCTGCAGGGCCCGGTAATCCAGGAGGAGCCTGGGCTTGGTGGGCCAGCAGGGGGGAGGGGGCGGGCACGGCCCGGGGGTCTGCTGGGGGCGCATCGCCTCGCATACCGGCGGTGCGCCAGGTGGGGCGTGGCGGGGCGTGGCGGGGCGTGGCGGGGCCCAGGGGGAGCGCCGGCCCATGCGGTTTAATAAGCGCGAGCCGTGCGTGCAATTACACAAGGCTCCGCTGCAACAACTATCCTCTCTCCGAAACGCAACGCGGCAGTGGCGGCGGCGGCGGCGGGCTGGGCCCGATCAACCGCGCACCGCCTTGAGCAAACAGCAAACCGGCCTGCGGTCAACACGACCCATCAGCCAGCAGCAGCAGCAGCAGCAAGCGAGCAAGCAAGCAACCACAGCCGCCTCCGTCCTCTTCGCTCTCCCGGCGGCTCTCCCCTCGCCTCTCTCTTTCTCTCCGTACCGCCAGTGTACGCCCGCACAGGGTCGCACCCGCAGCGGCAGCAGCAGCAGCAGCAGAGAGGACTGCACGGGGGAGCTCCAGGGGGACACCGGGGTCCGCCGGCATAACCGTAAACATCACGCAGAAAAAGGGGTAGCCTGCGCGCGCCCGCGCCCGTGTGTGTGTGTGTGTGTGATACTGCAGTGCAGGCGCTGTACACCGCCGCCCACCCCCGCACCCGTGACGCCCCCCGCCGCCCAGCGCCGCCGCTCCGCTCCGCACGTTGTAACGACCCCCATTGCGAAAATTCCTTATCATTCCGGCAACCTGACTATACTGCAGTGGTGTGCAGCGGCAGCCCCGGCAGCCAGCCTCCCCGCTGCAGTTGTGCTGCGCCTCACACAACTTCTCCATTCTAGAGATTGGCCCCCAGCCCGGCCGGGCGGCGTGCACCCTATGGGATGGGCGGGCGGCGTGAAACCCTTCACAGCCAACCCAGTGTCGCACTCCCCCCCCCCCCTAGCTCCAGGATAGTACCAATAATCGCACTCACACACACACGCGCGTGTAGCTGCAGCAGCGAGTGCAGCAGGGCGCATGTGACGCAGTGGTTGGTAGGGTGATGGGTACGGAGCCCCTATATAAAGCGAGCCCCACATCCGCAACTGCCCTGCACAATCAAACAAGTAAGCAATACGCACTCTCCATACACTCGCGCCGGCGGCGCCTCGTTCACCTGCAGCTCGCGGGGGTGCTGGTCGCGGGGGCGGTGGGGCGTCGCTCGGTGTGAAGCCCGCAGCTAATCAGATCTACAAGAGTCGTGCCTCAGCCGCCCCGCCACGCCCCGCGCCTTGCACAATGCGCCGCCGACATCGCTCCTCATTATGGGACGCAAATTAGAGCGCGGGGGGCGCTGCTCGCCTTGGGGACGGCCGCCCCGCCCCACCCCGCCGCGCCCCGCCACGCGCCCGCAAGTGCAGCGGCGGCCGGCAAAGCAATTAAATACGAATACTGTTAACCACCAGTCACAGCGGTATGTACGCGCCTACCGTCGCCGCCGAGGCCCCCGCGGGCGACGCGCCGACCAGATTTACTAAACAAAAATGCTGCCCAGGCAGGCGGTGCGGCGGGCAGTAGCGCACCGAGCGACCCGCGCCACGCCCTGCCCGCGGGCCAGGGCACCGCCGGGGCGGGGCACCCTATCACGCGTGTATCACTGGACCTGTCGAGTGGAGCGCGGCGCGGGTCAGGGCGGGGCGGGGCGGTAGCTGGGCGAGGCACCTGTTGGGAGCGATAGCCATCAGCGGCCCGAGCAGCGGCAGCAGCAGCGGGCTGCCCACAATGCATATATGTTAATAATCTGATTTCACAGCAATTAGGACGCCAGTTTGCGCGCGCCCAGGGCTGCCTCCGCTCGCGTACGCGTGCGTGCGAGCGAGCGTAACTGGCCGATAATCACTTCACCTTCCCCGGGCGCTAAGCAAGCGTCTCCTCGCCAAGAGAGGCCAGCGGCG